ATATTGGCAGTAAGCTAACTTCTCAATGTGTAAGTATTCCGAAATCAGTGAAAGTGAGAGAGTCAGTACCGTTTTTGTGAATGTATTGTGTACGTGAGCGCCGTTTTTGTGTATGGGTTGTATACATGTTTATTTATAAACGTATGTGTTCCTTTTCTTTCGTGCGTGTTTGTTGATTTATCTGTACTGTAATGTTTTCGGACGGTACTAGCTCTTACTGCCAATATAAGAGTGTGTATTACATATGTATATGGTTTCCAAATGGCATTTTTTTATATGCCATGCATTTTTCAATGCCAAGTAGAATTTCAGCATTACACATCTTTGATTTATCCGATGTTGCTCACTTTTTATTACCTCTCGTGCATATTTAACATATTGTTTGGCTGGAATATTGTGATAATGTTTAATATGTGTACATAGTTATAATTACAGATGAATGATTACAGTATTTTTCATTTTTATATCATTGCGTTATTGGTTTAATACTTACAAATATAAAATTGTGTATCTATAGGATTTTATTTTTTTGAAGCCAACTGCGCAATATACGAGCTGATTTTCTCTAATAGCATGCGATTACCATTCGCACTTGCTTTATTTTGTACGGCATATAATGTGTTGATATCACGTTGTTCAAATGCGCTATCCGCAGCTTCATCCCATAATCTACAAAAGTATATTGTTTATAATTATAGTACATAGTTAAATATTGTCTTAAAACTCACTCTGCACGTAAATACCAATGCGCCTTCCGATCATCCCGACATTTCATAATGTATTTGCGTGCCTCATGCAAATTATTTTGCTGTAGACACATCTCTACAAACGGCTCATAACCAATGGGACTTTTTTTACTTTTTGCAAATTTCTCCAAGTCATCCCATTTGTATTTTTCAGACAAGGTTATAATGCGCAACCACCAAAAGCGCTTATCTGGTACCTTGAAGTCATTTTTGATCTTTTCCGCTTCTTTGAGCTCTCCAATCTGTAGCAACAGTAGCATCGTGTCATGTATGGAGAGACCATTGAAGCTGATTTGATGCACCTTGCTGTATCTAAAAATTATTCGACTTTAATTGGAACTTTTTGTAAATTATGCATTGAGACTCACTTGGGAGTTAATACATTCTTTTGCATTTTCAATATTTTTCCTGTGTCAGCACACAATTCAGCCTCGACATGCTTTCGCCCCTGTGTATAACTATTGGCTATGATAGGCAGATTTGACTCTAAGCTATCGCTCTCGAGTGCATTGCGGAAATGGTACTCGGCAATGGATTTTTGGTCATCCTCTTGATTGTAGATATCATACAGCGCAGTCCGACTCCATTCGTTCATCATTTTCTTGTAGATATTTAAAGCCATAGGATATTCGCGTATAATTATCTGAAATGTGGCATTATTACATAACTGATGGTATTTTTAAAAGTTATTTACATTAAAATTTGCAAGCATCATTTTCTTTTTAATCTCCAATAGCACAGTAGCCACCAGCTCCGTATCCCCAGATTGCGTGGCACTTCTAATGGCGCGGTCATACTTGCCCAATTTTAGCAATAGCGGCACTTGCAATGATGCGCGAGGTTCCAGTTCAAGCAGCTAATAAATTAAAAATGTATCACATTTTTGCATATCTACAAATTTAATATGTTCATGCAAATACTTTTATAGCAAGTTCATCGCGTCCCACATCATGCGCCTTTTCAGCAATGTTACAAAAAGAGATCCCTTGCACTGAAGGATTTTTGAATTTTTCGGTAATTTTTCGCGCAACCTCATTATCGTCTGTAATAAAATAGTTACTTGCGCTGCAAGTGGCACGAATTCTTATTTGGCTTACTTTTGTCATTTACAACTTTGTGGTAAGCCCAGTGTTCTAAAATCCACGACTCTGGTAATTTCAGGTGTTTTGCTACCTGTATTGCAATGGCATAATGTTTCCGAAAGACTAGGCGGCCTAGCACAACTTCCGGTTTCAGATGACAAAATCTAGAATAAAATTTAAATCGCGCACCTTTAATTTACTAAGATATAAAAATTTGAAGCAAATTACTGTTTATAAGTCAATGGCATTGCAATTTTTTCATGACGTAAAGCATTAAGCACGCGTAGTATTCTGAGTATCCGCATATATTCATCAGGATTGTGTGAAGGAATGAAACCTTTGCCAAAGTACGCAGTCTTAAATGGAAGTTATAATATATTTAATTTTTTATGTTTAGCGCAAATTAGCAAAATTATTTACACGTAACAGGCTCTTTTGTGTCTCCGTGCAGAATTCATAACCTGCTGCTTCGATGCATTCGTCTACTGCTATGTCCATTTTGTTGCGAAACAAACTCAAATATTCATCAGCTTGGTGTGATTTTTCCTGGTATTTCTTTTGTGCCTCAAATAAAAAGCTGGAAGGTTCTTGGCTGTTTACCGCAAATATATTTTGTACACACTTCGGCAACTTTTGAATCATTTCATGTGCGTTGTTAGTTATAATTCGTACACCATCCATTTCGGCCACGAGAAAAATTGCTGGATCATAGGTGAACAGATTTTTATCGCCATTGCGGTTAACAACCAATAGGAATGAAGGATAGGATATGACTACAGCATCAGCCTGATGGTTCTCAGAGCTCATAACCCATTCAATTTGCCGTGGAATATCTTTTCTTCCTGTGTCAAATTCACAATATTTTTTATTCATATCTACTGAGCCTAGCCATAGGAGCCCATTATTTGTATACAACGCTAGATTTTGATGATTGTAAGACACTGACATGAGTAGTATGCGTTCGAACGGTCGGTCAAAGAGATTTCGTTTAATCGTGCCCACGGACTCGCCAGGGAATAATTTAATAATTTCTTGATCACGACCCAACAAACAATATGTGTTTCGTTCTTCTGTGATTATTTCCCAACAAGTGCATTCTGACGCGGATTCTGAAAAAGCCATACCATAACAATGTATATACTTATATATATCATTTAACTTTACTACCACAAAAAATGATATTTTTTGTGATTAACTAACTTGGAATTTCTGGAAGTTGTCGTGTACGAACGTCTTTCGCGTTATTGAGTTTCAAGAATATGCGTCCGGTTGTTGTAAGCACGGCTATGCCGGTACCGGAAGTGGATTGAAATATTTTAGCATCCACAATCTAAATTAAATATTTATAATTGCAAAAAAGAAAATTTTTTTTTATCAAACACACACCTTGGTTAAACTAGCCTCTTGGCCCATACTGTATGAGTCCTTTTCGTTGCCAAACATGTCATAAATAAATACTAATGCATCATCTTGGACACAAATAAGCTCCTCCATATCTGACCAGCCCATGTTAATTAGTTTGCCGTGGTTCCACTGTAACCAATTTGGAATTGTGTAAAAAGATTCATTTACAAATATGCATTATTTTTTCCGTATTATATACAAACCATGATTTTGGCCAACTCCAGACCGGCTGTGTCGAATATGCGTATCGTGGGTTTGACACTACCTTTAACTGGTACAATTTGCTTTGGATCTCGCATCACGGCTAATGGTCCACCAAACGGTGCGCCCACAACTTTCATGTACTCCAAGTCCACATCCAGTGGCCAGTCGGGAGTAAAAAGGTCCAATTTTCTTGAAAATGTAGCGCGTATATTGAACTGGATTATACATAGTGAATATAAAACCTTCGATATATTACCTATACGTATCCGGGCGTAGGACGAACCAATCGCCCGTGTTATACATAATCGGCATTTTGAGTTTTCTTTGTTTAGTAGAAAATCGAAAAATTACAAGAAACTCCTACTTGCAAAATAATAACAAATGCACTTAATGATTAGGGATGGAAACATTTAAGCAATGTTATCGATATATCTGTTAACAAAATTTAAGACTATCGATATCGTTATAACCAGTGGGACAGTGATCGGATGTCTCTAAAATTACAATAGATGCAGCACATTGTATGTAATTCTTGAATACTAGAAGTATTTTTTGTTGCGAACCCGTACGAGTCCGGACTAGTCTGATATAGTCAGAATCAGTCAGATTTTACTGGAAATCGATCCCGTACTCGGTTCTCTGACTATTGAGAGGACAAAAAAGAGAGTAAATAAAAGCTTATAAAAAGGTCATCTCTCTGTCAGAAGTTTCCAGTTTTAGTCCAAAGATTTTTTGCTGGCAAGTTCTGGTAAATGTGTCAAACGATCAGCTGTAGTGTGTTTGGCAACCAAATTGTAAACAAAAGAAAAGTACACTGTGCTAATGCATGTTGAAAAGTATTTAATTTCTTGTTTAAGTGAAAGTATTTTTGGTTATTTATATGTGGGAGCTGAGTGTGTTTACGTATAGAATAAGCAAATATTACAACCAAAATTTGGAGGTTATGTTGTTGTTGACAGAAGTTACAATTTTTTACTAGAAAGCTATCCCGTACTTTCCAATGTTACTCTCTCGCTCGGAGGAATTTTTATTTTTTGACAGATTCACTAGTTTCAGTCAGAGGAATACCGAATTGGACCTTACATATATGCCGAGCACCATTTTTTTTTTTTCTAAAACTGATTAATGCCACATTCACTATCGTAGGCCCTTTTTAAGCAATATATAAATAAATGGCTGCCCCATATAATTAACTTGTTTTGCGCGCTCTCCTCCAATTTTCGGCGCTACTGTTTGTGTTCATGCGTTTTTTGCAGAACATTAGTTGTCAACTGAACACTGTGCATTAAGTTGTCAACTAGATCAGCTGATTTGATTCGCTGGTAAATGCAAAACGAATATGTGAATAACCGTATATCATGTAAATTGTTGCTAAATTTACGGGTCTAACGTGTTCTTGAATCAATAGGTTGTAAAAACTAGTGTTTTCTTACACATTACATTAACTAATAACAAACACAAAGCATACGGGTGAGTGGAGGGCAGGAAGATTAAAAGTGCAACAATGCGCGTATGTATATATATTTTAAATTTCATCTTTTAAATCAAACATTCCATCATGCAGTGCACACGTGTCAGAGCCGCCAGGTTAGTCCAACAACCATCTACAAATATGGATACAAGTGAATCTCCAGGTGTAGCAGAAGGTGTGGACGCACTCACGTTGAATAGTCCTGGTGATGTTAAAGTAGACAAGGTACCGAACGGTGTAGAGGCCACGGAAGATGACGCTGATGTTGTGGATCCGTGGAATGTAACCTGTGCTAATGATGAAGGCATAGATTACGACAAGCTAATAAGTAAGCAATTTTTTATTTTTATTTTAGTACTTCAATAACTGAAAAAATCATTTGTAGAACGTTTTGGTTCCTCGAAAATAGATGAAGAGCTGATAACACGATTTGAAAAGATAACTGGAAAACCAGTACATCATTTTATACGTCGTGGTATTTTCTTCTCTCATCGTGATTTTCATACGATTTTGACTCTGAAAGAACAAGGAAAACCATTTTATCTTTATACTGGACGCGGACCAAGTTCGGGATCATTGCATATCGGACATTTAATACCATTTTATATGGCCAAGTATGTGTTGACATGTTAAGAGTATTAGAGTATTAGTAAAGTAAAGACGATTACAATGCCCTTTAGTTCATAGCAGGGTTGTTGCGAATATTATTCCGAAATAAAATCTTTTCCTTTGGTATCAAATGAAAGAGGACTTAAATATGTATCTTTAAAACTGAAATGTATAAACGAGGGAAGCCACAAATTGAAACATGTTTCAATAAAAAATTTTAATTAATTACTATAGAACAAACCTTGTGTCATGAATATGCATTTCTTTAGTATTAAATTATGAAAGAAATATAAATAGAGGCCGTTCATTATTTCTAAATAGTTCTAGTTTAAAGCTATTTCAGTCCTCTTTCATATGATACCAAATTTGTTTAATTTGGATAGGCGGTTTCTTTATTATCCGAAAAGGACTTTTATTTTGGAATAATATTCGCAAAAACCGTGGTTCATAGTATGAGCGGCTAGTTCTCTTTTTTTTTAACTTGCATATATATTTTTAAAATATATGTTGACATGTATGAGTATTACCGTATTAGTAAAGTAAATACGATTAAAATGCCAGTTAAGTTCATAGTATGAGCAGCTAGTTCTTTTATTTTTTTACTTGCATATATATTTTTATAACATTTTATGGCACTTTATTAAATTCTTCGCATTATCTCCTATTACTTCCCATTAGATGGTTGCGTAAAGTAAATACGATTAAAATGCCGCTTAACTCTTTTATTTTTTTATTTGCATATACATTTTTATAATATTTTATGCCACTTTATTAAATTCTTCTTCTATCTCCTTTATACTTCCCATTAGATGGTTGCAAGAGACATTCGATGTACCGCTGGTTATACAGTTAACTGATGATGAGAAATCGCTGTGGAAGGATCTGAAAATTGAAGAAGCTATTCAATTGGCATATGAAAACGCAAAAGATATTATAGCTATCGGTTTTGATGCAGAAAAAACTTTTATCTTCAACGACTTGGATTTCATTGGGTAAATTTTTAGTTTATTAAGTTTTATGTCTATTTTAATGTATGCATATTTGTTTCAGGAAATGCCCTGCAATGTATCAGAACATTATTCGCATTCAAAAATGTGTCACCTTTAATCAAGTAAAAGGTATATTCGGATTTGGTGACTCTGATATCATTGGAAAAATTGGTTTTCCTGCCGTACAAGCTGCACCAGCACTCTCCAGTACGTTCCCTTTTATTTTTACTGGTAAGAAACCAGTACACTGCCTCATACCATGTGCGATCGATCAAGATCCGTACTTTCGTATGACACGTGACGTAGCACCACGTTTGGGATTCCCAAAATGTGCGCTGCTACATTCAAGCTTTTTCCCCGCACTTCAAGGCGCGAAATCAAAAATGTCAGCCAGTGATCAGAATTCAGCAGTATTCCTTACCGATACACCAAAACAAATAAAGAATAAAATTAATAAATATGCATTTTCGGGTGGACGTGCCACAGTCGAGGAGCATCGCAAATT